AATAGATGTAGATGTTACAAATAATCCCAGATTTGAATTCTATACACAGTTTATACAGAAAGGCTAAGCAAATTTGATGGAGTTGTAAACACTGTGTTAGGACTATATAGAAAACGGACAGCAACATTCTTTATGTTAGTGTATCAGCATAATAGAAAAGGTTTTATTTTAAACTTTCCTCTTTCTCCTCCTCCCCTTCAACCTCCAGAACCAATACAGGGGGAAAATCAATGGCCCTGCCCCCATTGTCATATTTATGTAGATTTTATTTACAATAAGTCCTTGCTCTTTTGTCACATTTTGGAATAGTAAATGTCAGAATCAGATTTGAGCTTTCCCTTTGTTTTCATATGCTTGAGTTTAGGTACTAGAAAGATGGTTCAGCTTCATGCCTGAAACCTATGTGTATATCATTCTGGGATGCACGCACCTCCAATAACAAAACCTGTGGATGCTGAAGTCCCACTATATACAATGACTTTGTAAAATGAAGCCTATTATATAAAATGGTAAAATCAAGGCTTGCTTTTTGGAATTAAAAAAAAAACATTTTCAAGCAATGGATGGTGGATTTAAAAGGCCATATACACTTAGTGTGGGTGATGACAGAAACTTCCAGGGAGATTAAATGGCTTTAGAAGAAATGACTCTGAGTCTAAGATATTAGGCAGGGTTTTGCAAAAGAGTAAAGGATGCTTGTACACGATCTTTCCCAATGGACGATCATCTTGCTTCATGAATAAAAGTTTATCAATAGAGTCTTTGTGGTGCAGTTCCTATCTCCCTACCTATTCTGCTGCTTCACTTTTCTTTACACACTTACACACATGCTCCCTCTCTCTCACGCACAAATTAATTACAGGGAGAAAGAACAATACCTTTCATTTGGTGTCATTAGAAGCCATCTATCTGAGAAGCCACCAAGGAGTTATAGAAGTTTGTGTTGTGCAAGTGCCAAGAAGATGGATGAATATAAACAGGGTTTCTTATGCGTAGAGTTCTCTTGGATCAAATATTTTATTTATTTATTTATTTATTTATACGCTTGTATACCGCTAATATCTCAGCCTAAGTCGGCGACTCATTGCGGTTTACAACATTTAAAAAACAGTATTCAGTTTAAAAGCATAAAACACATATACAATACAAATTATTGGGCCAATATCATGAGTATATATAAGATGCACACCTAAATGTACATAAGAATGAACAATACCCATCCTGCTCTGAATGGTGGCTGTCCACCATATATTTCTTTCAGTTGGTTGCACATTGAGATGATAATTCATGTCCAAAATATTGTGATGCTAGATGTACACTCTTCTCCTTCTAAAAGCATCCCTGGAACTTGATTTGGATATTGATGTTTTCTCTTATGAGGCTATACTGATATAGGGAATAATCGAGTGTGCACACTCATCTGTGATGACATTGTTAACCCTCCACCTTCTCCACCTTTTTAGAGTAGGGCGACATTATGAGGCCACTATATATCTTAGGCAGTGTGTGGAGCACTGGGAAACTGCATGTTCTTATACAAACATCAAGTTGATATGATTGACTTGTTTAGTTATAAGTATCTGAGTGGGAATCATGAATTGTTATCTATTATTAAGTGGTTATACAGTTTTAACACTCTTGAAATGATTGATGATGATGCGAAACTGCAGCATGATGTAACAGCATATTTTGGATGGAAATAATCAGAAGTATAATTAAATATGCACTTGAAAATGTACGTTAGGCCGGCCACATTTTCTTAAGAACATATGCTGGATAGCTCCCGAGGGGAGGTGACAGCTAGCTTCATAGCTGCCTGGTTAAAGGGGGGGGGGGGGGTTATATAGCACAGCTCTCCTGGATGGAAAGTATTCCTTTGTAGTAAAATGCCTGAAAGCTATGAGTACATCATAATCACACAACTGTTCTGTACTAAAAATGCTTTCTGGGTATTAGCATTTCAGGTTGCTTTACCCTTAATAAAACACAAGCCAGACAGTGTTCTTGAATCACTTGACACAGTTTTTAGTTGTGTGCCTTTGTTGGGATTTAATCTATTCTTTTAAAAAATCCTAGGCAGCTTGACCTTTAAAGTCATAAAATCAGAATTGTTAAAAAATCTTATTACTTTCTGGAAATTTTACAATATTTCTGGTAAGTGGAAACACAAAAATATCATTTGAATTTTGGCTTTCAGGGGATTTAATGGAGATGTGTTTGTGGCTACTTTAAAGTATAATTAATCTGACTATTTCAAGAGAATTAGACAGAAGACTTTATCATGCCAATCTGCTATTTCGCTATGGTTGTATTCGATATAGGTATTGCACATTGGATGTGGCTCCTCTTTTCATTAGTGAAATTGTGCTGACTCTACAATCTGTGGTCCTGTGATCATACTTTCACACAGCCTTTCTGTATTACTGCAGTTTCTATATTATTTTATTGATATTTTTATTTTAACACAGTTGCACAGTTTTGGCATCAAAAACACCAAAAAAGCAAAGGGATATTGAAAAGAAAAGAAAAACTGCCCGCTTTGGAATAGTGAGGAGTGGAAGAGATGCAGTGCACTTTAGTAGGTAGCAGCAACATAAGAGGATACAGAGCTATTGATGGGTTTTACTCATCAGTACCTAAGGACAGGAGAATTGAAGGGTACAGGAAGACAAACCAGTAAGGGGGCACCCACAATAATGGGATACACATCATTTATAATGTTGCTATGCTTGCTTTGTGTGGTAAAGTCTTGAATCTGGTGTGTTCCCAGCTCAATAGTAAAATGTACACAGATAGTAGTTAATACAGTTTCAGCAGTATCTTGATATTTGACCTCCATATTCCTCCAGTGAGATGGCATACATTACTCTCTTATCCACAACTTTAAGCTTAGAACAAAAAGATACAAAGTAGGAGAAAGACTGGTCCAGGTTACCCAGTGAATTTCCCAATTTGGTAAAGCCTTAGATCAGAAACTCTTGATTTGCAGTCAACCAATACATCACATGTGAGATTACGACTCTGGTTCAGCAAAATGTAACTGTTTTACAATGGTGAAAAGATTGCAGTAGGTTTGGGTTGCCCTGAGATCTCTATTTTTCAAATTAATAACTAAATGTTCCTTGGCAGGGGAAGAACTACCTGAAACGAAGGAAAGTGAAAAATAATTTATAAGACATGTTCCTCTACATTAAAGATGGTGTACTTTGTGAATGTTCTCAATGCACTGAAAAGTATCTTTCTGATATGCAGCCCCCTGCACTACCCTGGATCACCTATCAGGTCAAAGGATGTTACGTATCTTTGCATCAGGTCAAAGGATGCAACAGTAGTATCTAGGTCGTAGGAAAATTTATACCACTCAAAATGAACCATGTGAAAATGTTATGCACCAATGTCATTCAAAGTAAAAACATATTTGGAAACATGTTTCGGTTGCATTTCTTCATCTATATCCCCTCAGAAAAGGAATTTTACTTCTTTCTTCCTGTTTTCATTTTTTTAATTGGGTTCCATACTGTACACATGGCCATTCATATTTTTGTGTCTCTCAGATAATAATGTCTTCAAAAGATTTCTATGTCAGGTTACCTGTTTGATAGACTCTCACTTTGTCATTGTGGCAACATTAAATCATTAGTGGGTTAATACAGACTTAACTGAAACTTGAAACTAGTTCAGATATCTTTTTCTTACCCAGACCTGTGCTGCTTCTGTCTCCATTTTAAAGGATTATTTCACTGTGTCTGCCTCCTCAATCTCCTTCAAGCAATTTGCGTTGTAATTAAAGTTGTGGTCCTGTGATTAAAAATCCTCATTTGAAGACCGTAGAAGAAGCTCTGACCATTAGTGGGAAAGGATCTTGTTAGCCATTTTTGTCTGGTCTCATCCATTAGAGCTTTGATGCCCTTAGCTTATTCAAACATCATTTTTAAAAAATCTATAATTTTAAAAATATGTATCTTTTAAAATTCAGATAATTGTCTTTTATTTGCTGCATTGCAGTAGCTTGAGCTAGTCTACTTATTTGGCAAACTGTGCCTGACTTTGAACTGGTTAACTGATCCAAGTTATGGTCTAAGTTGGAACCAAGCCAGAGCGTTTTACAAAGAGACACATGCACACATGGATCTGAACTGCAGCTGAACCCAAAACTTTAATGATTTAACTCTTGGCTTTTAGCACATCAGGCAATTTTGGTGTGCAGTCATGTAATCGACATTGCATAATTAGTCTAAAGAGATGAGGAATTATAAAAAATTGTTCCAATCTTACATTTATGTATTACTGGAAAGAGTAGATTTGGACAGACCTGGGTAGCATAAGAACAGTCCCACTGGTTTAGATTTAAGGTCTAGTGTGGCCTTCTATCTTCACTGTAGACAATCATATGGGAAGCTATGGGAAGCCCACAAAGGACACAAAATAGTTCACCTTTTCCACTGTTGTTGACTTGTACCTGATTTATATAGCATATGGTAAATTACTATATAAATAGGCATTTGTGGAATGTCCTTTAGCTAAACCGACTGAAACTAGGCTGTCTTTTTCTTTTTTTTGTTTATAGTTTCATTGAGTCAGGAAGATTGGTCTCAGCACTTCGTTCTCAAGACCCATAAGGCTTATGACTATACTCCCATATAGTAGATCTAATACAATGGTCCCCAACCTTTGGTCCTCCAGGTGTTTTGGACTTCAACTCCTAGAAATCCCAGGCATCTTACCAGCTGTTAGGAATTGTGGGAGCCAAAGTCCAAAACACCTGGAAGGCCAAAGGTTGGGAACCACTGATCTAGTACATGTTCTTTTAAAGACTTCTTACCTGCCCATCCCCACTGAGATAAATAGCACACAGAAAACTATGGCACCTCTACATTTTGAGGTGCATTCACGGGTACATGTATATAAAGAAATTCATACTTTTAGGAAGCAGGTTTTCAAGTTATTGAAGTTTTAGGAAAAGAAGTGTATGACACTATGTGCCCTTTTTATCCCCACAGATTAAAGAAACTTCTTGAGCAAGAGAAAATCTACCAAGCCCGCAAAGATAAAGAACATGCAAAAAGGCTCACCAAGCTCAGAGAAGAATTAGTCAAACTCAAGTCTTTTGCACTCATGCTTGTGGATGAGAGACAGATGCACATTGATCAGCTTGATCAGCAAACTCAGAAGATTCAAGATCTAACCCAGAAATTAAGGGAAGAAGAAGAAAAACTTAAATTCTTAACTTCGAAAGCCAAAGAGGATGGGCAGAAACTGATGAAAATAGAGGCAGAACTTGAACATAAGACATCATCATTTTCCCAAGAGCATGAGGAGATGACAGCGAAATTGGTGAGTCAAGAATCACACAACAAACAGCTGAGGCTTAAACTGGTTGGCTTAACCCGCAGAATTGAGGAACTAGAAGAAACCAACAAAAGCCTTCAGAAGACTGAAGAAGAGCTTCAGGAACTGCGGGACAAAATAGCTAAAGGGGAATGTGGGAACTCCAGTTTAATGGCTGAGTTGGAAAACCTCCGTAAACGAGTGCTTGAAATGGAAGGCAAAGATGAGGAGATCACAAAAACTGAATCTCAGTGTAAAGAGCTTAAGAAGAAGTTGCAAGAAGAAGAGCACCACAGCAAGGAACTAAAGCTTGAAGTCGAGAAACTACAGAAAAGAATGTCAGATCTGGAGCGGCTGGAAGAAGCTTTCACCAAAAGCAAATCTGATTGTACCCAGTTGCGTTTGAACTTGGAAAGAGAGAAGAGCTTAACCAAAGACTTGATCAATGAGTTGGAAGTGTTGAAGACACGAGTAAAAGACCTGGAGTCTTCAGAAAGTAAGTTGGAAAAAGCTGAATTGATCTTAAAAGATGACTTGACAAAGTTGAAGTCTTTTACAGTTATGCTGGTGGATGAAAGGAAAAACATGGTGGATAAAATAAAGCAGGAAGAGAGAAAAGTTGAAAGCTTGAATAAGAACTTTAAGGTGGAACAAGGCAAAGTTATGGAAGTGACTGAAAAACTCATAGATGAAAGCAAAAAGCTTTTGAAGTTGAAATCTGAAATGGAGGAAAAAGTGTCCAGTTTGATGAAGGAAAGAGATGAGTTAATTGGCAAACTGAAGAGTGAAGAGGAAAAATCCTCGGAGCTGAGCTGTACCGTGGATCAGTTAAAGAAAAAAATTGATGGCATAGAGGAGGTAGAAAGAGAAATAGCAAGAGGTCGAGTTAAAAAAGGACTAGGGCTAAGTGGACAAGAAGATAACAAGATTAAAGAATTGACGGTTGAAATTGAAAGATTGAAAAAGCGTCTGAAGCAGCTAGAGGTGGTCGAAGGAGACTTGATGAAGACAGAGGATGAATATGATCAACTGGAGCAGAAATTTAGAACTGAGCAGGACAAAGCTAATTTCCTTTCTCAGCAGCTGGAAGAAATGAAGCTCCAGATTGCTAAAAACAAAGCAATTGAGAAGGGGGAGGCAGTGAGTCAGGAGGCTGAGCTGAGGCAAAAATTTCGGCTGGAAGAAGCTAAAAGCCAAGACTTGAAAGCTGAAGTACAGGCTCTCAAAGAGAAAATTCATGAGTTGATGAACAAAGAAGACCAGCTCTCTCAGCTCCAAGTGGATTACTCAGTCCTTCAGCAAAGGTTTCTGGAAGAAGAAAACAAAAATAAAGCCATGGGGCAGGAGGTGCTGACGTTGACAAAAGAGCTTGAGCTGTCTAAGCGCTACAGTCGTGCCCTGAGACCAAGCATGAATGGGAGAAGAATGGTCGATGTACCTGTGACATCCACAGGAATACAAACTGATGCAGTAAGCAGTGAAGCAGCAGAAGAGGAAACTCCTGCTGTGTTCATAAGGAAATCCTTCCAGGAAGAGAACCACATCATGAGCAATCTTCGGCAAGTTGGGTTTAAAAAGCCTGCCGAGAGGTCATCAGTGCTTGACAGATATCCTCCGGCAGCAAATGAGATTACAATGAGAAAATCCTGGATTCCATGGATGAAAAAAAGAGAAAATGGTCCTCAGTCCAATCAGGATAAAGGGACCAGAATACAAACAAGCCCAGAACATCCAGGAGAGGTTGTCGTTTCTCCAAAGCAAGGGCAGCCTCTTCACATCCGTGTAACTCCAGATCATGAAAACAGCACAGCTACTTTGGAGATTACGAGTCCAACAGCTGAAGAGTTCTTCTCGAGTACCACCGTTATTCCCACATTGGGGAATCAGAAGCCCCGGATTACTATCATTCCCTCTCCTCATATCACTTCACAAAAAGGGAAAGGAGGTGAGAGCCCTGTAGGCCCAGAGAGAGCTATGTCTCCAGTGACAATAACTACATTTTCTAGGGAAAAGTCCTCGGAGAGTACCAAGGCTCCATTCATGGAAAGGCCAATGTCCCCAATTCAGATCATGACCGTGTCTACCTCTGCAGCACCAGCCGAAATTACTGTGTCCCCTGAAACACAAGACATGACCATGGGAAGGGCTGTGTTTAGAGTGACTCCAGAAAAACAAACTGTCCCGACTCCAGTTCGAAAGTACAATGCTAACACGAACATTATAACGACAGAGGACAACAAAATCCACATCCACTTGGGTTCTCAGTTTAAGCGCTCACCTGGTGCTGCCCAAGAGGGAGCTAGCCCTGTGATTACTGTCAGACCTATGAATGTAGCAGCAGAGAAAGAGGCTATGACTGGGACTGTGCTTCGTTCTCCCAGGAATAATATGTCCTCAAGACCTGGAGCAAGCAAAGTTACAAGTACCATTACAATCACTCCAGTTACTACATCATCCACACGAGGAACACAATCCATGGTAAGCCCTGTTGACTCTTACAAAGGATAAGGGGACAAGATAGGGAGAATGTTGGGTGGAAGTTAGGGTTGAGAATCAATAGGGAGAAAGTGGGACTTTTGCATATGAGGTCCTAGACTGCACTTGGGAATCTGTTTACTTGGTTCAAGAGCAATATCTGCCATGATTTGGGACCTTGAAACACTAACTTTTTATTGTAAACAGTCCCTCTGACCTGGAGTGGTAGCTTGTTTTTGTTATTGGGCATTGAGAACAAGCCAACATCTTAAAGTGTTGTACGTGTGCTTTTGTCTTGCCTTTTAGACAGAACTACTGGCATATATTCTGTAAAATTGTGGTGAAGGTTAGTTACCGACTCGTTTGCTTTTCTTCTTGAATGTAAATTGACAGGTGCCATTTTTATATATATTGCATCCTTCACAAGACAAGAGTTACATACTTTTTGTACTTAGGTGAATGCACCCAAGTATAGAATGTGAAGTGAGTATTGCCAAATCCTATTCAGAAATCCCATTATTTAGTATGGCTTATTCAAGTTTGCCTAGGGTTGTCCTTAAGTAATGTAAAGTAATGAGAACTGAATTTCCTATGGCCAGTTTTTGAAGTGGCAAGATCATTCCTGGATTCTAACATTTTATATTGCAGAACAAATTCCACTACTGTGCTTAGCATGCCAGGAATAACTATACTAGAGCTATTCTCCCTATTATGTGTTGTTGTTGCAGTTGTTGTCTAATTCTTTGTAAAATCAGATTTCTAGAGAGAGGTGCTTTGTCTAGTGATCTCTTCACACAGGGCATTTTTGCTCCGTTTGGCTGCTTATGTGTGGCTTGGATGGGACCTGCCATGCGCCATCACCAAAAGGTGCTTCCTCCACCACTACTGGAAGGAAAGTGTTGTTTGGGTAGCTCCAGTTAAGCTACCTGCACTTTCCTCCCTTTCCCCCTATATAATGGAAGAAAAGGATCGCATAACAACATGTATTGCCGCTCTTTCTGTCATCTGATGGGTGGGGGGTGTCAACGTACCCTGTCCCATGTGAAGAGATCCTAGGAATCTATAGGTCCTCCAGCATGCGTCCTCCATAGAGTCACACTAGAGAACCTAGAGATTCCAATACAGAATATTTTAAATAAAATCTATGAATAATAAAATTTGCAGAAGTCAAAACAGTGTAGGGACTTCTGTACTTTATTTCACCTTGTACTACATTGGGAAAAGTGAATTTAAATGTTCATGAAAAACAAACAAAAAGAATTAGTCTTAAAGGTATTGCTACATTCCCCCTTTCCCCTCCCTTTCTTTCCATTTCACCTTTTTAAATTCTTCTTTAAAAGGGAGACTAAACAAGTATGATCCAATGTAAGAGTGAACCCAGTAATGAGAACTAAATTGGCATTTTGGAAAAGGCTAGTTCAGAATGTCACCACAAGCACAGGGCAATTTGGAAATTTGTGTCCTAATTGCATTGAATTCTTTGCGCACATCTAGGAGTGCAACACTTTTGATGACAAGTTCCTTTGTCTGGCTACAATCCAAGCAGCAAGCTTTGTAGTGTTTTTTAAATCTGGATCTTGCAAAATTGCATTTCTAACTGCATATGCTTAATTAACTTCATTGAGGCATTTCTGCTTATTGGGAAAGGAAACACAGCTGGAGTCTTAAATCCACTCTAAATGCAAGCGTTCGAATGATATAAGATTGCATGATATTTTTTTTAACAAAAGTATGTTGTGTGCTTCTTTGAAAGGAAACTACCATCTCCAAAGCAGAAACAGTTTGTGATAGATAGGAAATAAATTTTGTTAGCCATATATTAATAGTTGAACAGTGTCCCACATTTAAAGAAACCTGAGTTTTAAAACAATTAGCTGCTGGTATAGTTCCAAACAACCAAAAGAATTCACTTGTTTCTGCTGTAGTTTTTTTTTAAAAAAAAAAAGCTGTGTACTTGACCCTTAGAACTATGATAGCAACATTTTTTTTACTTTGAATAATTTCTGAAAGAATCCTAAATAATAATAATAATAATAATGATAATGATAATAATAATAATATTTTTTTTTCATGTCAGGAGCAACTTGAGAAATTGCAAGTTGCTTCTGGTGTGAGAGAATTGGCCATCTGCAAGGACGTTGCCCAGGGGAACACCTGGATGTTTTGATGTTTTACAATCCTTTGTGGGAGGCTTCTCTCATGTCCCCGCATAGGGAGCTGGAGCTGACAGAGAGCTCAACCCACTCTCGCCAGATTTGAACCTACGACCTATCAGTCAGCAGTCCTGTCAGCACAAGTGTTTAACCCATTGCACCACAGGTGGCTTCAACAACAACAACAACAACAACAACAACAACTTTATTTGTAGACCTCCCTATCTCCCCGAAGGGTCTCAGGGCAGTTTCCAACATGTATGGCCAACATTCAATGCCAAAAGGGAAGACATACAAATTATATCAGGGCAGACCACATCAAACCATACAAAAGCAACCTAACTTTAAACATAATAACCGACAAAATAGACAACGAAAACTTAAATGGCCCATACAAACATAATGATTACTATAAATTTAACACTAGATAAAAAAACTAAGAACAATAGCTAAAACCTTACTTTAAAATGGCATAATATGCAGCAACTGACAGGCTGACGTCAATTCCAGTCTCTAGGAAAGATTTAACTTATCTAGGCGAGCATGTAAGTCAGGCATGTTAGTCTTCCTCCTCTCCATACACCAGAGTGCATAGCAGTTTTTTGAAGGCAAGGAGAGAGGGGCCATTTTTAATTCTTTTGGGAGGGAGTTCCAGAGGCAGGGTGCAATCACGAAGAATTAACTTCTCTCGTTCCCACCAGCCGTGTTTGCGATAGGGGTGGGACTGAGAGCCAGCCCCGCTCCATGGATCGCAAAGCTTGGGCTGGTTTGTATACGGAGATGTGGTTCTGTTAATAGTCTGAGCCTGAAAAGTTCAGGGCTTTATAGGTAATGACCAGCACTTTGTATTTAGCCCAGAAGCAGATTGGCAGCCAGATGAGCTCCCGCACTGTGAGAGTCGTTTTCTCATGGTATGGTGCTCTAGTTAGCAATCTAAACAGTACAGGTGCTGGACTGTGGCACAAAATTCCTACATTTTTGTAGAAGAAATCAAACAGTGGGGATTCATGGGGCTTCACAGATAACAAATGGTCAACAGCCCTTGCTAAGATAAAAACTATGGCAGCACTTCACATATTTATCTCAATTTATACTGAACTTCATAAAATTCTTTGCTCTCATCACTGATCCTCCACATTCAGAGGTTTAACCCTTCTGAATTTGAGATTAGTTGCTCCTGTCACCTTATGCCATTTTTATTGGAACTGACTGAGAGTCTTAAATGGCCCTCTATAAACGGCCAATCCCAGGTTTCCATTAGATGTTGCCAGGACTATTAAACTGGTGTCATGTTATAAATGTGAAGTATGAAAGAGCTCCTAAGTTGGCATACATATCATGCCCTTACACTTCAACATACAGACTAAGGAATTTCATGGAAGCAAGGTGCAAGACATAAGTCTGTGACCCTGCTGTGCAGGATCTACAGGAGTTTCAAAACCCATGACTGTGTGCGCATTCATTTATCTGCCAACTGAGGATAACCACTCCAGCATCTGATGAGGTAGACTGTTTTACGAAAACGTTTGCAAGTGCCAGCAGACACTTGGTTGTTTTTGGAATTAAATTACCTCCTAGAAACAGAGATATTTTTTCTTTCTTTCGTTGGTGATGACTGAAAAATTTGTAGAGGTGGTTTCATACTTCCTAATAATTACTTTTCCAGTTTAGAATAGAGAAGATGTAACCAGATGGCTGACCTTTTAAATGTGCTACAAAGCCTTCTTTCTAATATATTAAAACAGAATGACAGATTAATATATGCAAGTGAGATTTGCGTTCTGTCTCTAAAGCCACGGGCTAGCCCTTTGCAAAGTCTTATCTGTTGCTCTCATAATCACATCCACATGCCTTGCAGTGAACCATAGAGAATGAATTTAAATGATGCAAGGCTTTTTATTATGCTTGGGACCCTTAAAACGTGTTAACATGTTTACAAATTGTTGAAAACCATCTGTAATATTTCATTGGAGGGGTTCAGTTTACAATCCAAATGAGTGGAAGTGATTTGCTCTAAGCCTTCGAGACTAAAGGTGATATCCAGGCTATGCAAACTGGATTGATTTACCTGTCATTCCCTTTCCCTGGGGAATCCTGGGAACTGTCATAACTTTGGGATGGGAGGCAGGGATCTCTTCCTACACAAAAGTTTCAACATCTCACCAAGCAACAGTGCTATGCATCATTCATATAAAACTGTAGCACATAACATATAAAGACTGGAAAGCACATGATTCTGTATGATCTTGAAATCTCAGTAGGGTCAGTCTTGGTTAGTCCTTGAATGGGAAACTGCCAAGAAATCCCAGATGCTATATGCTCTATTCCAGAGGAAGAAATTGGCAAAACTCCCTCTGATATTTGCTTTTCACAAATTCCAGGAAATTCAAGGCGTTATCATAAGTTAACAGGTGATTTGAAAGCAGCACACAAGAGGATGACTCTAGTGGTGTCTTCAAGACTGATTTATTGGAGTATGAGCTGTATATTATTTCTTCTAATACATGGCTGTGAATCTATGTCTGATACAAACACTGGAATGTGTTGTTCTAGCCATGCCTACATTCATGATTGGATTCCAGTTCGCATCACAGCCACCATGGTCAAGGATGGGGAGAGTTGTGTTCCAGCAATACTTGGGGGAGAGGAAAGATTAATCTCATCACACATTTCAAAAATTACTTAATAAATTAGTGTATATACCTGGTGTTGCCCGGATATCAGTAGGAGCACTGCCCACCTACTTTCTCGCTTCTCCAGCTCCGATAAGCCCACCTCACAATGTGTCTGAGTAGTCTACCTCACAATATGGCAATGGAGGGCAGATCTTCTTCCTCCCTTCCCCTCATACACAGGTCATTTAGTGATACCCTTTATGGTCCTGACAGGGAGACAAGTATACATACCTTGAGATAGATAGATAGATAGATAGATAGATAGATAGATAGATAGATAGATAGAGATTTTTTTTCCAAAAAACTTACATTAATAATAATAAAAATAAAAATAATAACTTTATTTATATACCACTCCATCTCCCCGAGGGGACTTAGAGCGGTTCCCACGTAGCATCACAAAACATACAAAGTAAAAAAACAACATAACCATAAGATTGACAAAACAAAATATAAGCATAAAAATTGTCACCATAACACAATATATTAAAAGAATCCTGCCTATTAGAGGCAATTTAAAATTTTAAAAGGGCGGGCCAAGATTTGTACAAGCTCAACAATTCTAGGGCACCTGGGAATTAAGTGCAATGCTATGGCAGGCAACAATAATATTAGGTACGGGTCTGTGGCTGTTCATTCCGGGGCCAATTAGAGAAAATGATCTGGATAATTAGTAAGAAGAATAAGGCCATATTCGACAATGTGTAGGGCTGAGTTAGAACTGGTCTTATGAAAGGAGGGGAGGGATGGGGCCTGTCTTATTTCCCTTGGAAGGGCGTTCCAGAGGCGAGGGACCACTGAGAAGGCCCTCTCTCTCTTCCTCACCAACCGCGCTTGAGACGGTAGTGGGACCTCCTCGGAAGATCTTAGAGCTCGTGCCGGTTCATAGAAGGAGATGCGATTGCGGAGATAGGCGGGGCCCAAACTGTTTAGGGATTTATAGGTCATGACCTACACCTTGAATTTATCAGCAGACAATGAAGCTCAGTTCTTGTGGGTTTTTTCGGGCTATATGGCCATGTTCTAGAGGCATTTCTCCTGAGCCTATTAAATATATGCCACTGAATCCAGTCCTCCAAAATGGTCATCATCAACAAATCAAGTACAATGTCAATACTGGATACATTTCATAGTAAATAATCACATAAACATAGAGCTGGAAGAGACCACATGGGCCATCCAGTCCAACTCTCTGCCATGTCGAAAAAGCAAATCAAAGCACCCCTGACAGATGGCCATTCAGCCTCTGTTTAAGAGCCTCCAAGGAAGGAGCTTCACCACACTCTGAGGCAAAGAGTTCCATTGCTGAACAGTTGTCACGGTCAAGAAAATTCTTCTCAATGTTCAAGTGGAATCTTCTTTTCCTGTAATTTGAACCCATTGCTCCAAATCCCAATCTCCAGGGCAGCAGCAAACAAGCCTGCTCCCTCTTGCTTATGATATCCTTTCAGATATCCACTCAACCTTCTCTTCTTTTGAGGCTAAACATCCCCATCTCTTTAAGCCACTCCTCAAAGGGCATGGTGTCCTGACCTTTGATCAATTTAGTTGCCCTCCTCTGGACATGTTCCAGCTTGATAATACCTTTCTTAAATTGTAGTGCTCAGTACTGGTCACAATATTCCAGGTCATGTCTGACAAAAGCAGAATAGAAACCAAACCGATGAAGTTTTTCTTTTCTTGTTTTTCTTCTCTTTGTCTTGCAGACAGGACAAGATGGGTCATCCCAGAGACCTACACCCACCCGAATCCCTGTGTCTAAAGGTATGAAAGCCGGGAAGCCAGTAGTGCCAGCCCAAGGAGCAGGAAATCAGACCAAATTCGAGCCTCGTGCCGAGACTCAGTCTATGAAAATAGAACTGAAGAAGTCTTCAGCCAGTAGCTCTGCCTCTCTTGGTGGAGGAAAGGGCTGAGAGGGCAATGGCCAAGGGGGTATGTTGTGCAGGTTTACTGCTACCACGGAAATAAGCCCCCTTGTTATCTGTATTACTTGTTAGTGTTTGCAATACTAATTCTGTCCCCTCAAGCTGCAACTTTCACTAATACATGCATGTTTTGATTATGGAATGTGCCTACATCCTCCTTTTTCTTCTCTTTTATGTTGAAGTCTCAATTGTTAAAATCAGCCCTAGTCCAGAGACTCCTAACACCGAGGTGCCATGTAGATCAACATTGTCCAGCTATGGCTCTACCTTTTCCATTTTCTGAAAATCGCATGCCCTATTTTCCTTCTGAACAAGACACTGTTGTAGCCAGCACTCCTGATGCGTCTGAACTAGTTCTGTCTACAGAAAGCAATGAATGTGATCACACTATTCATTCATTGTGATCTTTCTGGGGAAGAAAGTAGATATACAGAAAATCTGTTTAAATCCTCCAGCTTTTTGGAGAAGCAAGGACTTTTGAATTAGAAGAGCTTTTCTTTCTACTCAAGTAGGATTGGACTGGACATTTACTACAACCACTTGAAATTGTCTCAGTTCTATCAGAGAGCCATGCATCAAATCTGTAGCAAACAACCTCATGTTTTTGGTCTTGGCAAATTACGAATGCAGATCAAGCTGTATGGCTGGGTGGAACCGGGGTAAAACAATGATGGCAAAAATTAGAGAGAGACCACTGAATACAATGTATTCTGAATATATGAGTTAGCCAGGATTCCACACATGTCTACCTCAACTCAAAAACGGGATCTCAGGAAATTATCAACTAGGGGTCCTTCCAGACCGGCCCTATATCCCAAGATCTGATCTCAGGTTTTCTGCTTTAAACTGGATTATAGGAGTCTGCACTGCCAAATAATTTGGGATGAACGGAAAACCTGAGATCAGATCCTGGGATATAGGGCCTGTCTGGAAGGGCCCTTGATTTTGCTTTTCTGCCAGTATATGAGTCCTTGAAATGCCTTGCTTTTATTTTTAAAAGCATGCTTTAAAAAATGTGTGGATATATGTGATTGATGGCAATTGGGTTTTTGTCTGTCTAATAGAACTACGACTGTTAATGAGCATTTTCACTGAGGGAAATTTCTGTCAATTTATCTAGCATATCTAGCATAAGGACGTTGGCTTGCAAAATCTTTGTCAGGAGTAATTTTCCCTGCTCCCATTTTCTTTCTCCCACCCTCAACCTATATCACCTAGCTGAAGGGCATGTGATCCTTTTAACATTTTTCTTGCTGGAGAAAAATCACATCATGAACAGCAGCAATAACAACATGCACTCACCCAGTTCCAATAAAAAAACAAGTAGCTAAAGAAGAGTGAATGCATTTGTTCATTGGGAGACTGTTTTGGGGCTATGTATCACAAAGGGCCCCCAGTGGCGCAGCTGAACCTGCTGACCGAAAGATTGGTGGTTTGAATCCAGGGAGCAAGGTGAGCTCCCACTGTGAGGCCCAGCTTCTGCAGTTCGCAAACATGCAAATGTGGGAAAGTAACAGTGCTCCATGCAGTCATGCTGGCTACATGACCTTGGAGGTGTCTATGGACAGCACTGGCTCTTCGACTTAGAAATGGAGATGAACACCACCCCCTGAGGTCGGACATGACTAGACTTAATGTCAGGGGAAACCTTTACCTTCATCTTTTATCACAAAGTAGTTTAATTGTAGTTTGAGGCAGTCATCTATAAAAGCAAGAGAGAACAATCCACCAATGGCTGTAGGTAAAATGCGAATGGAGGAATGATTCATTCCAAAAATGATGCTGAGGTCTGCCATTCTTCTAAAGACCACTAGTATTAGAATAGAAAGTTTAGTGGAAGGGCAACAGATTTTAGTCTTCAGCAGAGTGTTTACAGGTTGAAATATTTGACTGGTTTTCAATTCTGGATGGTATCTTAGTGACACTTTCAGTCATGCTGACTCACACAACCTAATGCCAAGATAAATTTAAATGTCAGCAGATCTATGTTGATGTTTCTGTTTACCTCACTAGGCTAGCTGCAAGTAAGCACTGTAATAGAAAATATTTCCTTAATATACTTCTGTCATCATTTCTATTTAAAAATAATATTTCCCTAGGTGGGATTCAAACAGCTGAGGAAATGCAACAGAATAAAATGCAATACAATAACAATAAGCTCAAGAAAGTATATGAAAACATTTCAAAACAGCCATAGGTAAAGTAAAGGTTTGCCCTGACATTAAGTCTAGACTCTGGGGGTTGGTGCTCATCTCCATTTCTAAGCCAAGAACCAGCGTTGTCCGTAGACACCTCCAAGGTCATGTGGCCGGCATGACTGCACAGAGCACTGTTACTTTCCCACATTTGCATGTTTTCGAACTGCAGAAGCTGGGCCTAACAGTGGGAGCTCACCTTGCTCCACGGATTCAAATCGCCAACCTTTTGGTCAGCAGGTTCAGCTGCACCACCGGGGGCCCTTTGTGATTCATAGCTCCAAAACAGTCTCCCAATGAACAAATGCATTCACTCTTCTGTAACCTTCCCACCAAAGCATTACTTATTAATCTACTCATATTTGATTGTTTTCAAACTGCTAGGTTGGCAGAAGCTGGGTCTCACAGCGGGAGCTCACCCCACTACCCAGATTCGAACTGCCAACCTTTCGGTCAGCAAGTTCAGTAATTCAGTGGCTTAACCCACTGTGTCACCAGGGGGACCTAAACAGCCATAAAATCCTGTATTTTAGAGAGGAAATACAGGCTTTTGCTTGGTGCCCCCCAAAATAGTTGCATAGATGTTAAGTCAGCCTTCTTTTAGAAGGAAGGTGAATTTCCTTCTCTCTTGAAGCCACTGGTCTCAATTCATTTGATGGGATTACCTAGAGTTCAGAAACTGAGAGGGAGAGTTAAAGAAAAACCCCAAATGAGTTTTCTAGTGTTATAATAATACATGGAAGCTGCTGAAGGACAACCGAAGTTGAGACTAGCTAAAATAAATATTCTTCTGTAATTAAGATTCCAGTAATGTTTCCCATGTTTCATATAGCATGGGCTGACCACAACATTCTTCCTACTCTTTACTTATTTTCACATATCTTCCTACAAAATTTTAATTGAAACATGTTCACCTCAATCTGAAAACTGACTTCATACTAAATTCCAGGTGGTGTATAATTTGAACTAATTGGTTTTGAAGCCAGACTCACAAGAGATTGGAAATGATGGCAGAAAAAAATTGTAGAATTCACTATAACAGTCACATTTTTTTCAGCCACACAATAATGCTAGTGCTATGATAGGAAAAAAAAGGCTGAAATCACTTCTGCTTCTCCACAGAAATGATAGCTCTGGAAAAGGTTTAGAGAAGCAACTATTCTAGCACCCTGTCTGCCAGTAGCAAGCCAATTCATAAGTATTGTATTAACTTACCTGGATTTTGGTTTTCTCCAGCAGTATACAATAACCAGTTTTTTCCCCCCTCTGAGTTTCCCCATTCCCTTTCTCTCTCATAGGAACACCTTTAACAACACCTTTGTGTTCACTCTCTTTCGCTTTCCCAGCACTTAGCTTCACAATGCTTCTCCTTTTCTACTTCTGTGGTAAAGATGTGGTATGGAACAAAGGACTGCAATAGCTGCTCGTTCTCGTTCAATCACACAAGCGAATGCTTCTGTATGAAAAGTAGCCCAGATAATGTTGCTGTATGTTTGGGCTCTTTTTGTTAGTGCAACCACTAAGAGTTTTGGCATGCATGACGATCTCCATCAGTCCAGTCCATGGAAGGTGGAAAACAGTTCACTTCTATCTGTTTCATCATCCACTTCTATTTCAGGTGATAGAATCCAGAAATTTGAGTTTATCCACATAATTAGAAAAGTGCTAATACAGATATACCTCAGTTAATCAAGATTCTCAGAATGAAACTCATTTTTTTACATTGTGTTATACCTATCCAATTTTTCTTCCCTGTCCTTTGTCTAGATTTTTTGGGATAGTAAGGGACGACTATAGAAACAGAGATGTTTGTTGCAGCTGTGTATCTGCAGTAAACTGCTGGTAGGGTAATCGAAACTTCGGGCTGTTGGGCTCCCTAGGAGTCTTCTTAGTCCAACCCTTGCCAATGCACAAATCCACAGCTACATATACTAATGCTGATAAACACCTATCCAAAATCTGTTTGAAAACCTCCAATAAAAGACAATCTGCCACCTTCCAAGGTAATTCACTCCACATTCTGGGTGCTCTTCCAAATTATTATTATTATTATTATTATTTGATGCACAACATGATTAGTACACAGCAAACAAGATCACTATGCTGGCTTTTGTATTTGATTACACGTTGGTCACTTCCCAAGTGTCTAGGACTGTGTGGTGCATTGGCGAATAATGCATTCAGATCCAAGCAGGGTGGCCTTTTGCAAGAAAGATGTCAGCTCTGACTGTGTTTAAGTGCAGACCAAGGTCTTTAGGCACTGCTCCCAGTGTGCCAATCACGACTGAGACCCCATTTACTGGCTTGTGCCATAGTCTTTGTAGTTCTATCTTTAAATCCTTATATCATGTGTTTCCAGTTGTTTCTCGTCACTTCTGCCGACACCTGGGATTGCAACATTGACAATCCATACTTTGTTTTTTTCCACAATCGTGAAGTCAGGAGTATTGTGCTCCAAAACTCTTGTCAGTCTGAATTTGGAAGTCCCAGACTAGTTTGACCTGTTCATTTTCTGTAACTTTTTCATTTCTGTAACATCATCAATCATCATCATAATCATCATTATTAATGCCCCTCTTTTTCTCTCCACGAGACTCAAGGCAACATTTACTCATAATCTCCATTTTCTGTTATTTGAATCTGGCTCAAGGACACAATTTGTTTGGTAAGAGGGCAAAATATTTTCCTGGTTTCAGGGGAAAGGATTGTGTTGTTTAATTTTTAGAAGAGACTGCATCCACTGGAGGTAGGAAGCTAAGCATCTGCTTGTGAGACTTTTTCATAAATATAAAGATATATTTTCTAGGTGCTGGTATTCTTGCATGTATTTAAATGTTCATTGAATGCCCAATGAATTCTCCCTATTCTGTTATTGCAGCTATATAGTCCATTGCTGCAGCTACTGGGAGGTAGTATGGTGAATAAAATAGAGTGCTTCCTGCTTTGGTGCCCTTTCAAGTACAGCAGAGGTTGCATTGATTGCAATGTACAGACACTACACTTGCATTGCAACATTTTGTAAACTAACACATTCCTTTGCTTTAACTGGCTTCACAGACTGCTGTAGTTAAGTTGGTTTTAAAGACCACTTACATGCTTTCATTGTAGATCAGCTGCTGAAAATTGTGAGCTTGATGGGTGCTGTCATCTGCAAGCAGTGAAACATCTTATGGGGCTTATTTTCATTGAGGACCATATCTTTCTTTCCTAAACAAGTTTAATTCCTTTAATTGTGACTGAGATTTTAGAACATATATGGACAAACTTTGGCCCTCCAGGTGTTTTGGACTACAATTTCCACAATTCCTAACAGCCTATTGGATGTTAGGAATTGAAGGAGTTAAAGTCCAAAACACCTGGAGGGCCAAAGTTTGCCTATGCCTGTTTTAGAGGAATATGAGCAAATAATATGGTGCAATTTTTAAGAAGCTGATTTTATTTCACTCTCTTTCTGTGTGTGTTCAGGTTTGGGGACACATATATAAATGATACATTTTGCTAGGGCTCTTGTAAGACAAAGATGTTACTTGGGTACAGAGAAACCGCTGTTCAGAATTGCGTTTTTTTGCACGGGGTTCCATAGTTACCACTTTAAGCAAACACAGGTCAGTTGAATTTAAAAATATCAATCCAGAGGTAGCCATGTTGGCAACACAGCAAAATATAGCCATGGTCTTCAAAAAACATATCATGGTTATACCATTATTAGGCCAACTAAAAGTTTTTCAAGGTCTCAGGTTCTTAATAAGGCATAGGTGTTAAAAGTCATTTTAGTGGAAGAGCCGTGACAAAAGGAGGCTACAAAGCTGCATCTTTGCTGGGATAGTAAAGCTGAAGATTTTTAACATCTTGGCACCATCTTTAGAACTCCGATTTAACATCTCATAAATGTTGCCCGTCTATGGCCCCCACCTTCATCCTCTTTATTCCTTTGCAACATTTAGCATCTGATGAAAAGCTGTGAGCTCTGAAAGGTAATCGTGTGCCTTTTGATCAGCCTAACAAAGGCATCTTGGCCGTGTTTTTTGGACTCTTCTAAATTTTAAAGAAAATTTTATTCACTCAGTGTGCCTTAGTCATACTTGGATTCAGACAGACTGTTGAAAATATTTTACATTCAGGGTTATACTTTATGAGAGTTGCCATTTGGATATCAAACAACTTTGTCCTAAAGGCAGCCTGTTTTATTAGCAGTAAAGAGAAAGGGTATAAATTATAGTTTTCCCATATGTGTGTGTGTGTGTGCGCGTAAATGTGTGTGTTTATCAGTATGCGTGTACATTCACACACACATATATGGAGAAAAGTGTAATATACATACACATACACACTGTTCAGATTTTTTTTTGTGTGTGAATGTCAACAGGTCATACAACAGATTGTGCGTACAGATGCTGCTCTGGTCAGCTTTGAGTCAAGCAAGAGCAGTGCCATCTAGTGGGAAATATCTAGAACAGTTAATATTTAAAAAGGTAAACACAACACAATTTATTATTTTTACTATGATCTACTATAGATTGTGCTGCCAAAAATGAGTGGGAGAGATTTCCATATTTAGTCAGGTCTAGTGCTCACCTTCTTTGGCAAAATTGCATCACTAAAATTCAGGTGCACATTAATTCGATGGTGCATTAGAATCGCAAAGCTAAACCGATCTGCGCTGTAAGAGATCCCAGCTTGGGATAGACGGTGGTTGTGAAAAGCCTGGTGGGAAGGCCAGACAGTGAGGTGTGGCTTCCCACCAGACTTTTCCAGGCCACTACCTGCATCCTACCAGGCTGGACAGAGGGGCATGGCTTCACCGTCTCCACCATCTCGCATTACATTCACCAGCAAATCCTTTTTTTTTTTTTTGTAAAGCACAGCTTCAAAACTGAGGTGCCCATTATTCGATGGCACATTATACTCAAGTAAATATGGGTACATCAAACTGTTCTAAATTATAATGCAGTACAAGCCTTTTGCTCCCCAGTTTATAAAGCACTGCATTGGAATGAGTGCCAATCTTTAAATCTAGCAAATTAATTATTTTATCTTGTGCCACAACTGCAGTGCATTTACGACTTGCACTGGGTATAAGGGAGGGCTGACTAGGGATAGAGAAAGTGTGCATGGATCTTCTACTGATCCTCATGGCTTTCTCACTATGTTCTGTGTTCAGGCAATTGAAAAACCAGGTTGTACTGTATGTTATTGAGATTCTTGGCACATAAGTAGACATAGTTGTTTCCCCTTTATTAAAGTATCACAGGATGTTCCCTGAAAATGAAAATACCAAGGTAATAGAATCATGGAATTGGAAGAAACCTCTTGGGCCATCCAGTCCAAACCCCTGCCAAGAAGCAGAAAAATCTCATTCAAAGCACCTCTGACAGATGGCCATCCAACCTGTTTAAAAGCCTCCAAAGAAGGAGCCTCCACCACACTCCGGGGCAGAGAGTTCCACTGCTGAATAGCTCTCACAGTTAGGAAGTTCTTCCTAATGTTCAGGTGGAATCTCCTTTCCTGTAGTTTGAAGCCATTGTTCTGCGTCCTAGTCTCCAGGGCAGCAGTCCTTTGCCCTTGGCATGATTCCAATCTGTCTTTTGGAAATGTCACAATTCAGGTAGCCCTAACCTGCGTCATGTGTTTGAAGTGGGCATTTGAAGTTTCCGTACTGTAAATATACTAGTGATTATGTTGTGGGGCCCTCATTGCCTTACATGTTTTCCCTTGCTAATAGCCATTCCTTTGCTATGTTTTTTCTCCTTCAGAGAGCATCATTATCCACCAGTTACGCATGAACACAAGATGAAACACTGGCCACTCCATTCTGGACTTAAACACTTCCTTCTCTGCGCTGCTTGGTTGGATCATTTCCGAAGCTCCACTTCTGCCACTGTCCTCTTCCATGCTACTGATGATGTATGGAAGGAATTTACTTCTTCTGTCACAATCTGAGGGGTTTTGTGCAGATTTTAATTGTTTGTTTTTTTAAAAAAAGAAAAATGTGTTTGCTGATTTTTTAAAAACGAGATGGAAAAGGAATTACATCTTCTGTGCCAGTTTTGCTCTAACTCTGAATTCATTGGCACCTGCTTGATTTTTGTTTGAAGTTTCCTACATAATTTATTTTTATAATACACTTTGTGATGCAGTGTTTTTTTGTTATGTATTTCCCTCCAACTTTATGATTTTTGTTGTTTGTGGCACGTTCATTTGTAGAATAACACTGTCAAAACTGCCATTGCCAGTGTGGAGTCTATGAAAATGTTGACTCGACCTCAAAGATGGCACTTTTTCGAGGAAACTTGCCACAAGGTTACCTAGCCATAATATGACTGTGAGATTAGTTGCCCTGAGGACTGCTTTGTGAGGATAGTTTTATAGTGGGGTTTGCCTCTTGCACTGTGCGATGGTTTAATATAAAACTGAATACCAACAAACCAAAGCCTTGAAACTGTGTTAGATGCTGAGGTCTATTAAAACAATGCTCATATATTGTGTGCTTTTACATACACCTATACCAAAAAAGGTTCATTTTTATCACATTGTAACAAATAAATTTTCACAAGTGTGCAACACTGCTATGGTGTCTCAGTTGTACCCTTGTGATAGAAGACAGTTAAGACCTTATTGGCAGTTCAATAAGATTTAGGGGTGAGGGGGTATTTTTTTTTCTTCGTGTCAGAAGCAACTTGAGAAACTGCAAGTCGCTTCTGATGTGATAGAATTGGCCATCTGCAAGGACGTTGCCCAGGGGTGACCTGATTATTGATGTTGTATCATCTTGTGGGAAGCTTTTCTCATCTACCCGCATGAGAAGCTAGATCTCGACAGCAGGGAGCTTATCCTGCTCCTCAGATTCGAACTGCCTGTCAGTTGACCAGTTTTTGCTGGCACAAGGGTTTAACCCATTGTGCCACTGGGGGCTCCTGGAATGGGGGAGCTGATTCCTTGTGAGTCAAGTATTGACTCAATATAGTTCAGTCTTATGCAGAGTTTAATACACCTAAGGTGATTTATTTCTCTAAACCGAGGAACATTTGTCAACATCAGTTCATGCTGTAGGTTGGGCGGCTATGATAAACTCCACATTGCTATATGCAAGAAGGGGAAAATGGAAGGAAAAAGGAAGAGGGGCCGACCAAGGACAAGATGGATGGATAGTATCCTTGAAGTGACTGGCTTGACCTTGAAGGAGCTGGGGGTGGCCAAGGCCAACAGGGAGCTCTGGCGTGGGCTGGTCCATGAGATCACAAAGAGTCAGAAGCAACTGAATGAGTAAACAACAACAATATGCAAGAAGGCATACAAACCTAACACTGTCTACCTATAGAAGAAATGTCAGGTCTGAAATGAGCAATGCAGCAGTGATGGCAGTGGCTGGGATCCAAAGATGTTTGCATAGGAGCCTAAATTGGTTTTGCACATATATCAATATTATGTCTTCTTGCTACAGTAAATGACTTCCTTGAAGGTCTCTTAACCCTTGATAGTTTTTAAAAAAAATAAGGATGGACATGTGGAATGAAACATGCACAACTCTCAGGATTTCAGTCCATTTTTATTTGTACATTGTCATTCAAGTTAGTGCAAGAACGTCTAGTCCCTTAGTTCCCAACACGGTGCATATACCCCACAGTGGGGAAATTTGATTTTTAAGGGGGGCAATTTGAGAATGGGTTATTAACAGGAATTTTTTTTGCATTTCTTACAGTTCTAGGGGCCTCATATAAAGTATATAAATACATATTGTAACATAAAAGGTAAAGGTTTCCCCTTGACATTCAGTCTAGTCATGTCCGACTCTGGGGTGTGGTGCTAATCTCCATTTCTAAGCTGAAGAGCCAGAGTTGTCCGTAGACACCTCCAAGGTCATGTGACATGAAGCACCTTCCCACAGAAGTGGTACCTATTGATCTACTCACATCTGCATGTTTTTGAACTTCGAGGTTGGCAGAAGTTGGGGCTAACAGTGGGACCTCACCCAGCTCCCCAGATTCGAACCGCCGACCTTTCAGACAGCAAGTTCAGCAGCTCAGTGGTTTAACCCGCTGCGCCACTGGGGGCTCCATACTGTAACATACTCATTTTAAAAATTAAAATCAGAATTTACATGGCAATCAGCTGGTGACAATGGAGAAGGGGAGAGCCCACTCATAGAGTGTTGAGAGCATGGAGTTAACTAGACAGCAGAAGAGCACAGAAAAGCACAATTATTACTTTCATAGGTAAGTCAGTATTTTTGTATAATTTTAAAAAAATTCAGGTGCAAGAAAATTAACATCTAGTGAGAGCATATTCTTGTATTTTCTCACCAAATACATGCAATGAAATTGGACACTTAAGTTTCCCTGAATTCTCAATTCAATTTGTTCTTCTATTTTTCCCTTTCATGGATGTCATGTTCTTTGGAAGCTTGTTTAGAGCAAGTTAATGGCCTTTCAGGCTTCCTCCAAGGTCACAGGGGTTTGCTTTTTACATAATAAGAATTATGTGTCACCGGGGGGGGGGGGGGGGGGGGGGGGGGTGATCAGGATTTTAGAGATGCTTAGGTGTAACATGGTCAAAAAAGGGGTTCGGAACCACTGGTCTAGACACTCTCTACTGGTGTTTTGCCTGCAGCTATGGCTGTCATCCTCAGAGCATATTTATTTATTTATTTAGGCTCGGAGAGGTTTACAATATACACATGTGATACATTACATATAAAATCAAGAAGAACTTCGATCAGCAAAATTCAAATGCCGCCCTAAAGAAATATTTGCCTGTATATGGCCTCCAGCCAACAGCTACACGGCCATAGCATGTACTCGAGCTGAGAGTACTTCAACGGCCTAGCTGCCCGACCATAGCAACACCTATTGAATGACTCCTTGTGTCTTAATTGTATTACATCAAAACTAGAATGAAGTCCAAAGAAAATAGTGCACACATCTGAAACAATTATATCTTGTAAGCCTCTCTGAGTCCTGAGTCCCCTTCGGGGTGAGAAGGGTGGCATATAAATGTAGTAAATAAATAAATAAATAAATAAATTAGCAGCAGGGCATGATACCCAAGCAAGAGCTGTCTACAACTATAGTAGCTACTGATGGGTGATCTCTCAGCTACCCCTCCTACCAGTCACTACATGGCTGTGAGGCAGCATAGGAAAAACTGACCAATTTTCAGAGATTCTTACACTGAGGAGAAACATACTTAAAGTCTTGTCAAAAGTATCGTCGAAGGCTTTCATGGCCGGAATCACTGGGTTGTTGTAGGTTTTTTTCGGGCTATATGGCCATGGTCTAGAGGCATTCTCTCCTGACGTTTCGCCTGCATCTATGGCAAGCATCCTCAGAGGTAGTGAGGTCTGTTGGAACTAGAAAAAATGGGTTTATATATATACTTAAAGTCCTTGTTCTCCTTTATGGGAACCACAAACTTAAAGAAATACATTTCTAGTTGGTAGCTGCCACAGGATATTAGGCACAGATTGCAGTCACAAGCCATAGCAACGCATGCTCCTTTTTTTTTTTGGACGTCTTTCCCTTGCATTTTCTGACCTGCATGATAAAGACAGGATCTTCAGCTTTTGGAGTTGTTTGTCCCATCTCAGCCCACGGGCAACAGCCACAGTGGATGATATTCCTTCTTATAGATTTGTGCTTCGAGGCTGATGAGCCCTGAGGGGCATGCAAGTACAGCTTTGGAAAGGGCGCACATGCGGGCCTCTTTCCACTGCCAAGAGAAGCATTTTGCCCTCAAGGGCTTGCATAATGTCACAGTGAAACAAATACCTGCCTAATTATGGTTCAGAGACACCAGCATCTTCCCATCCAACAGAAATGATCAAAGGCTTGGAAACCAAGCCCTATGAGGAACGGCTGAGGGAGTTGGGTATGTTTAGCTTGAAGAAAAGCAAGGCTGAGAGGGGACATGATAGCCATGTCTAAATATTGAGGAAGGACAGTCTTGTTTTCTGATGCTCTGGAGATCAGGACACAGAGCAGTGGATTCAAATTGCAGAAAAAGTGACTCCACCTAAACATTAGGAAGAACTTCCTGTTGGTAAGAGCTGTTTGGCAGTAGAATATGCTGCCTTGGAGCTTGGTGGAGTCTTTCTCAAGAGGTTGTTAAGCAGAGCCTGGGTGGTCATCTGTTGGGAATGATTGTGTATTCCTGCGTGGTTGAAGTTGGATGGGTGGCCCATGTGCTGTCTTGCAACTCTGTAGTTCTATGAACATGTGAACCACAAGGTGGTTTCCACTTACAATGGCTACATTATGACACATGCAAAATAGTTGTGACTAGCATTGCACCAATCTTTGAAAGAAGATTGTAGGCTTTGAAAGGGTGCTTACATATTTAAACAGATTTTTAATTATTTTAATTGTTTTAAATCTTTATGGTACTATTCCATCTATTGATTCTTAATACTCTTACGTTTAATTCTATTTTAATGTTTACCATTATGTCTTTTCGGTTTTAGATTGTACATTTTAATGATATTTTTTATCATTGTTAATCTCTTTTAAGAGAGAAAAAGTGGGATATAAATGATAAATAAATGACAACAATCAAGATAAATAATAATAAAGACAAGCAACAATACATATAAACAAAAATACCTAAAATATAAAAATACAGATTATTTAAGAAGGGGTTTAATATTTTAATAATTAATAATTAACAATAATAACCATTGATGTTATTGTTTTTAGATATTTTAACTTTCTGGTATTTAATGCAGACGTTTACCAATTGTTATGTTATTTTAAGGCATTGAATAGTTGCCAATATGTGAGGCTGCTGTGAGTCCTCCTCGGGGTTGAGAAGGGCAGGGTACAAATCTATATAAATAAAAATGTAATGTTCGTTTGTGGTATTCACAGAACTCAAAAACCACTGGACAAATTGACACCAAATTTGGACACAAGACACCTAACAACCCAATGTATGTCCTTCACTCAAAAAAAAAAAACGATTTTGTCATTTGGGAGTTGTAGTTGCTGGGATTTATAGTTCACCTACAATCAAAGAGCATTCTGAACTCCACCAACGATGAAATTGAACCAAACTTGGCACACAGAACTCCCATGACCAACAGAAACACTAGAAGGGTTTGGTGGGCATTGACCTTGAGTTTGGAGTTGTAGTTCACCTACATCCAGAGAGCACTGTGGACTCAAACAATGATGGATCTGGACCAAACTTGGCACGAATACCCAATATGCCCGAATGTGAACAACAGTGGAGTTTGGGGAAAATAGACCTTGACATTTGGGAGTTGTAGTTGCTGGGATTTATAGTTCACCTACAATCAAAGAGCATTCTGAACCCACCAACGACAGAATTGGGGCAAACTTCCCACACAGAACCCCCATGACCAACAGAAAATACTTAAGTCCATCCAGTCCAACTCCCTTCACCAGGGCAAGAAAAAGTGATCAAAGTCCTCCTGACAAAGAGCCATCCAGCCATAGATATTGATAGATATGATTCACACACAGAGAGATATAGTATCATAGATTTGAAAGGGACCCCTAAAGATGGACAATTATATGTCGCATGTTCCAGAGTAGGCAAACCAGACA